CTGGTAGTGTGGAAGAGCCCCGTCGTCTCAGGAGGGAAGGGAAGGCCGGCTGTGTCTCTGTGGTGAGCCTGCAAGTTGTGCGTTTAGGATTTGGCACACCTGAATTATCCCATTTTTGATGGGTGTGTAGCAGCAGGGTGATAAATCAGTGTTTTCACAGTGTTTTCCCCCGAAACCACATATTTGGTTAAACGGCTGTCAATTCTAGTCAGATCTTTATCAGGTCAAAATGCAGATTGAAATTATGAAGATTTGACAGGGATTGAAACATTGTGGACAAAATTAAATGAAGATTAGCCTGCATGTTCTGACAGACAAAGCATTGCCTATACTATCTATAGTTCCATAAATCACCTACAGAGGCCCCAAGGGACAGTAATCATGATGAACGGTAGATAGGTGTACTGCCAGTTTTTAGCATAATTGAAGGTATGACATGCAAAACAAGTATTGCACAATTATGCAATTTTTAATGCTAAAACCAAAAAATTGCTCTACAGTTAAATATGTTCAATAGTGCAGCAGCCCTTGTTACCTAAATCACAAGGGTATTTGTTTCACTCCTATTGATTTCAGGGTCATTTCTGAACCAAGCCACTATTAACTAAGTCCTCACTATGTCGGAGAAGAACGAAGATTAACTGACCATCTTCATTAACAGGTGAAAACTAACAGCTCCTATCTGTACTGCTCTTTCACAAACGCTGTTTCAAGCTGTGGCAACCCCCTTGATCTCCTGTGGAGATTTGGTTTCCCTTTGAATAGCCAGTTGCATTATAAATCGATCTGTATTGAGGCTCAGTAGTGTGCTGCCTCACTACCAGAGAGGGCGTGGGATTTTAAAAGCAGCTGTTTGCCAAGGTATATCTGCAGGGCAGCCAAAAACAAAACGAAACCAAAATGAAACACGCGATTATATTCACTTACATTTCCCGTAATCTCCCTCATCTGAATACAAGGAAGAACAGGGCTTTTTCTGCCTGTGTTGTGTTATTGTCAGTGAGGGATTTGATGTCCCTGCTGTGCGTGACAGTTTGAAGCACAGGCCCTGTTTAACAACTGGCCACGTGTTATGTAATCCGCCACAGATGAAGAGTTCCTCATTCAGGCAGCCTGCATCCTGCCGTGCCATTCATCAGACGCTAGAAATACAAAGTGCAGAGCTGTAACCTTCCTTTACTATTAGTCTGCATTAGGGGTTTTTGAATTTATGTTTACTTCTTTGTCACGTTATTGATCTTTTTGCCCTTTCAACAATTTCCCACCCTGTCTGTTGCGATATAGATCCTCTCATGGCCTTTGATTCTGATTTGCTGTTTTGCTTTGGTTGAGTGTTTTGAGTATTCAAACAATGTTTTTTTTTGTTTGTTTGTTTTCTCAATTTGACATTTTATAATCATTGCATTGATTTATTATTTTTTTTCTAAACATTTTTTGAGCTTAATGTAGTGAACTAATGGCTCTTTGACATGCTATTGCTCGTGAGCAGTTTAACCCCTAGTCAACATGTTGCCACATTAACAGCAACCTACTGACACAATGCCGTCCTTTGATGTCACATCCTTTAACGAAGTTTACCTAACCAAGCCTTAGCCTCAGCAGCTGAGGACATGGCGTTGCGGCGATTCACAGTAAATCCATAGCTGTTTATGTAACTGGCACCAGTCTTTTCCAAGAACTCAGGAAACAGTGGGCTCTGTTGCTAGTTGCTGTGTTACGTGGCTACAAGAGGGCGGAGGCAAAGAGAGATGCTGGCTGCAGCACGCAGGTATTTATGATCACAAGCCGCCACTCATATCGTAAGCTTCAGATGGCTTAAGCTCTTTGGCTACATGATAAAAAAGCCTTTTCAGAGATTAAGGACCTGCCTTGGGGGCATCACCAGTTACCAGCAGGTCATGCACCTTTAACCCCTTATTGAGACAGTTAGAACTAGCAGACCTAATGCAATAAACTGGCCTCTGCCATTATCTTTAGTTGACGGAATCGGTAGATTTTTTTTCTACCAGAATGATTTCTGAAATACTTTCCTGCTGGGAGCTCAGTTTTGACTTCCTATTACCAGGCAGCCCAGTGTGATGAATTACATAAATAGTACACACTCTCTCCTCTCTCTCTCTCTCACACACACTGTTCCTCAGGCGCTCCCTCTTGTGCTTTATGGTGCTTCTTCGCCTTCTGTAGTTATCAGAGTGCGCCACGGTAGAGCACATCATGCACCCAGAGATTAGGACAAATGTCATGCCGACGTCTTACTCGCCTGTGTATCAGTGACAGACCCGGTGAATGCTGCCAATCAGTAGCTTGCGCTGCTTTAAGAGGAGATCACACAGTACATAAGGTAGCTGTCAAAATTACAGAACCGGGACTCAAAGTGCTGAAAGAGGTGAAAGCATGGCAGAACCCCCCCCCCAGGCCTCCTTCTCTTCATCATCATCATCATCATGTGGGAGTGGAAGGGTGTTTGTGGTTTCACACTGACGCTGCCAAACGTGGTGATTCAGCAAGTGACGTCTCACACCACACTCACTAATAGAAGTCTCAGCGCTAAGAACTATAATGAGATATGTCGGTCGTAGCCAGGTCTAGAAATGTGGTCATACGTGCCTGTGTGGTCAGTTGGGTCGGGAAGAAGGGAGGGTGGGAGACGTACAGGAGTGGTGTTAAGCGGTGGTTATCTGAAGTTGTCTGCTGAGATGGTTGTTTTAATCTTGATGGGAGTGGAGGAGAAGATCGTGGTCTCCGGTGTCTGGAGTTTGTTAACTCGACGCCTGGCAGGCCAGACAGATAGACGAGCCCATACATGAACAGTGTGTTCTGCTCTGCCCTCACAGCCTTCTTTATCAGGCAGTCAATGACCATGTGTAGAAAGATGTCTTGTTATGTGACTAAGTAAAAAGTAGAGCGAACGAGATGTCCTAATAGTTGTACACATGCATTAGAAGTCTTGGGATTAAACAATTCATTGTGTTTTTTCTTGCATTTAATATGACATTATATTTGTGTCTTTGTGTCTGCTCTTAAAGCTACAGCTGCACAATAAATAATTTATTGGCTTATCAGCGATGTTGAAACATTACATGTAAGTGGCCTACTTAATTTAAAAATGGTGATATAGCAAATACTGCAAATTGCAGTGAAATACACTCAATAGTCATGTTCCCACGTGATCAAGTAATAATCATAATTACATTGTCCAGACAATGTAATTATGATTATTAACCATTAATAATCTTTTATTAATGAATAATCTTTTTTATTAACCACCAAATCTGATTTGGAATCATTCAGGCGGATATTCTGCCATGTTGTCCCCTCTGCAGCATGTCCTACAGTAGATTTCTCCCAGGTGGAGCTGCTTGTATCCCCCCAGGCTGCGGCGAAAGAGTAGAAAGTGATTAATTGCCAGCTGATATCTGTGTGTGTGTGTGTGTGTGTGTGTGTGTGTGTGTGTGTGTGTGTGTGTGCGTGCGTGCGTGCGCGCGAACTCGCAGGGCTAAGATGGCTGTGTTGGGGTTTAGATGAGACATTTCACAGATAAAGAGCAAAGGTGCACCTGTGAATAGGACTGATCACACAGACAGATGACCTGACCCAGACCCACCCTGGCTCATCATTGCAAACTGAAAAGTGTGTGTGTGTGTGTGTGTGTGTGTGTGTGTGTGTGTGTGTGTGTGTGTGTCTCAAACTGTTAGCACCACAGACTGAATCAGGGCACCTCCTCTCTCCACTCCCCAGACACGCAGCACTTTTCTTGTTCATGTAGTTTAAGCACACCCTCACGCATACTGTACTGGTGTAATGGATTGCTCTGCTCTTGTGTTCTTATCAGCACCATCCATGCATAGCCGAACCTCCCCTCCTTACACACACTGACATGCACACAGACTTGATATACTCTGGCCGGTCCTCACATGCCTCCAACAGTCTTAAAGCAGCAGAGCATAGCAGAGGGCCGTCTAGACAAGGGAAATCAGTGAGTTCCTGCTCTGGTCCCCTGGGCTCGTCTACTTTGGGCTCCCCCAGTGATAGTTTCTGAGTCTGCTGACTCTTAATGTCTCTCCACTGTTCCCTTCAGGCTAGCTCAAAGGGCAGCTACTGCTAATGGAGCGCTGATTGTGTTATAGCCACAATTATCTCTCTTTACCTCTTAACTCGGGGGCCATTAGCAGGATAGATAGCACCCGGGGCCTGTCTACAGTCACAGAAAAAGGGACTGTCAGGATGATGGAGCGTACGAGCCGAGCAGGGTCCAGGAAATACCATTACACCTTTCCTCCATGCCCCACCCCCACCCCCACCCCCACCCCTCTCAGCTAAAACTTGTTGTTTGTAATGTAGGCGAGAAGGGTAACTGAAGCTGGGTGCCTGAGATACCAGCAGAGGATAATGTATCGTCTCAAGACTTACACAAGCCGTGAATCATATGTAACCTGCTGTGTTGTTGAACTATAAGCTGGTGATTTGCAATATGTGAGCTAGAGGATTCCTTGCAGAGTCAGAATACACAGTGTCTTGATGAGCCTTAATCCCAATAGTGCTTGCATGTATGTGTCTTTTAGGATAGGTGTAGGATCATTTGACAGGAAAAATCCACCCTTAGATGCTGTGTTAGAAATAATCAGAACTCGCTAAGAACAGCTGTACATGTCTTCTTTTTACTTTCGGTGTAAAGGCATGTAAATAGCTACCCGTGCATGAGGAAATAGGAAATACCACTAGATAAAAGAAGGGGTAAAGAAAAAGAAAAAGTGTATCACAAATAGCTGGTTTAAACTGTATTTTAGGGTGAACCTTCCCTTTAAGAACCTTCTGAGCTTTGAGAAAAGGTTGCAGAGGGCTGCAACGTAGAGAAACTGGTTGGTAACTGGACTGTACTGGTTAATATCACCAAACAAGCTGGGTGAATCTAGTCAGAAAAAGTAAACGAGTGAGCAAGACTATTGTACATCGTCATGTATCTGATTGTTCTGTTTCTCTTTCCCGTCTTTCCTGTGCAGACGGGCTCACCTGCGGCTGTGTCTGGAGCGGTTGAAGGCCCTCATACCCCTGGGACCTGACTGCAACCGCCACACCACCCTGGGCCTGCTCAACAAAGCCAAAGCACACATAAAGGTAGGGATAGCAAGCCCAGCTGGATTTTAAAGCTGGTGCCAGATTACTTAGTTTGACGTGTGGGTATCCAACACACGGTGAAAGATGGAAGTGCAGAATTTAAGCACTGGTTGACTAAATACACAACAATGTATTGCTTAAAAAACACATTGTGGTAATAATGTGTTGATATAAAATGACAATGCATAAAAATAAACCCCTGCTTGGATTTTATTTGTTTTGAGCTTTGGTGCCAGATTCAAATGTGTACACATCCACTGAAGGGAACACCTATATTGCAGTGCATCCGTAATGAGGCTGAGGTGACATGATGTGTTGAATTTTAGTTTAAAACACAAAGTACATCCATTAACTATTTAAAAAATTTGTACAAATAATACATTTCTCGGGGAATTAAAAAAATGGCTTGTGCAACACACTATAACCAGTATTCATCTGGTCACTGGTGATAATTTCCGTGCCTGATAATCCAGTTTTGGAGAGCATATAACAGGTTAAGACATCCTGCTTCTCGCTTTCCCACCCACTTTAAAGCAGCCATGTGACTGCCTGAGATTGAGCAGTCTGCATAAGAAGCCTGGCGTAGCGTGCATTCACTGAATGAAAGAGGGGAGGCATAAAGGCGACATTGTTGTCGTGCTCCATACACACACGCGCGCTATCACCGCCACCACTCTGCACTTCTGCTGCTGTCATCTTGAGTCTCTCCATCGCTTATTGATGGCCTATTGTTTTGGTCCGTCGCCGGGAGTTACGCTCGTCACTGTCGGCGACCGTGACATAAGGCTGCAAGGTTAGAGCGCAACACGGCTGTATCTCTCCCTGCCACGGCCCTCGCTCATGTTGTAATGGTAAACAGAGGCAGCAGCTAAAGAAGGTGACACGGCGTGAACAAGGCAGGTGAGGGAAATCATTCAGGGGTTTCAGGGCTGGTAGGAGGGACACAACACGTTAAGCAGCTGAATGCTAAAACAGGCGCCGCAGAGTGTTTGTTTTGTGCTGCTGCGTTTGTATTTTGACAGCCTTTAGATAGGAAGGGTTTTTCCTTACATCTATCTCTTAAGAATCTCAGCACTGTTGCTGAATTTGTTCTTCCAGCTTTCCTTCTCTCATTCTTATTTCCTCTAGAGATGACTCTCACCTATTTGTCTGAGTTTCATCTCCTCTATGCAGTCTTTATCAACACATTCTCACCCTGGTCCCTGGCACACACCGTTAACCTTTTCTCTGTCTCTGTCTTCTCTTTCCCCTGACCAGAAACTTGAAGAGGCAGACAGGAAGAGCCAGCACCAGCTGGAGTCTCTGGAGCGCGAGCAGAGACACCTCCAGCGCCAGCTGGAGCTGCTCAGGGGAGGCAGCAGTGCTGCAGCCCAGAGCAGCCCCGGGGAGGGCGAGAGGATACGCATGGACAGTGTGGGCTCCACCCTCTGCTCCGACCGCTCTGATTCAGACCAAGGTGAGTGAGTCCACCGTCTTTAAACAGGATTTTAAGTTAGTGACTACATGGCCAACAGACCCCTGTATGTGATTGCTGAAAATAATCAACACAAATCTCCGTTATAGAGTTTTCAAATGCAAACAACCCCTGAAGGGCGTTAAAGTAAACATTGGTTAGTTAAAGCAATCAACATCCAAACAGTATAAAGCCTGTCTGAGTTTTTATCATTCCAACCTGGTTCTCTGAGTCTAACTGAACCATGTTAAATGGATACATATTTACATGGACTGCTGCAATATAGTGATTAAATTAGACATGTAGAACTTAAGTGTTTGACTATTAGACTACACATTCTTATATTTAAACATATTGCAGCATAACACATGCTTCCCTGTCTATTTAATATTGTATTTTATGTTTTTTATTTTTGTCAACAGATTCCATAAAAATTTATCCTACTAGTATTGCCTGTGTAGCTAAACCCTGATATATCTTATTCCTCTGTGTCATAGATCTCTATTGTAACCAAAAGAATAACCCCCTTTAAATAAAATATTTATTTATGTTTTGGTAACATTTGCCAAAAAAATTCTATTAGGAAATGATTTTAAATTTTTTAACTGAGCTAGAGAATATATATTCATTAGGGCTGCAGCTAACGGTGAAGCTTCGATAGATTATTTCAACGATTCATTAACGCGTTGTTTAAGAAGTACTTTTGCTTGGCGGCGCCCCCCTAACGGGATCAACTGTGCACGTTTATAGGTGATAGATATTTATCAGCCCTTTCTGATTTCATACTGTGTCATACAGCAAACATCAGACCAACTACTAGACAGCCGCTTTACAAACACACACATCATCCCAGTGCTATACTTAGTTATAGTACTGACTCGTGCAGCCTACACGACTTTAAGTGTCGGCCGATGGCTGTGCCGTTCACACAACCTGCCGTCATAACGGCAGTCTTGAAGTCGTGTGGTGTTCACACTACGTGACTGATCGGTGACAGGGACACACACACACACACACACACACACTACAGGAGCTGACAGCAGCTGCGTCACCCGACGCTGGTCTCCAAACCACGTTTTGTCAAGAAAACACACGTGAAATGTGAAACGGGAAATGAGCGATCCTGCACACGAAACTGCTGTTTGTTATTATAAAGATAACAGTTATAAAGACAAAGAATATGGGTGAAGCATGGATTAGCACATGCAGGTAGCAGGGATTGTGGGAGCTACAGAGAGCTGCAGGTCAGTTAAAAGACACGCAATTAACTCATGACTGTGAGGTTACAACTCACAGCCCAAAAAGGAGAACAACAAACGCACGTGTGCACATTTTCAGCTGAGGACTGCGGCTTACTTTGGCTAGACTTCAACTCAACAATCAAATCAAGATTTCAGTTAACTGCTAAAGTTGCTGTTACTGTTACCTTGTCTGTGGTCCGCTGGCAGAACACCTTTTTGTTCAGCTGCTGTTGTGCTGTTGCCAAGGTGACATAAGTTTTGTTTTACGGTGGAATGGACTGTGACACAGACAGAGTTGTTGTTTTCTTAAGCATGAAATAATAACATACTTTGGACACTTTCTTCTTTGTCCCTTGCCATTTTCTCTCTCTTCCTCCACTTTGCAAATGGCTACATTATAATCCTGTTGTGTTCACAGCGTAAGCGCAATGTGCGACAGTAATAAATGTGCGTGCGAAACACTGTGCTGTATAGTTACATGGATTAAACGAAGCATTGATGCAAAGAATTTGTGTCGAAGCATTTTATTAATCGATTTTATTGATTTAATCGAGAAATAATTTCAGCCCTAATATTCATAGCACGTTTTTTATTTACATCTTTACATCTTCATTAGCAAGCAATGGGCTTTGCTGTGAGTTCCACAGTTGCAGGGTAGGGAATCAAACATCAGTCAAATAGATGGGCTAATGGTGCTTTCAGACCAAAAGCGAAGCGAGTGTTCAGGGGGGTGAGTTTACATACAAAGTCAGTGCAAAGACATGTAGAGCCTGTCTGTCCTGTCAGGCGGCACAAAGCTACACGAAGGAGGAATATTTTCAACTCGAGCGAGAAATTCGCACGACGCTGAGTCGCGATAGCCTATCAACGTTGAGATTGTCCATACGTCACCGACCGCTTCAGAGCATTGTGTGGAGAGGGCCAGGCAGAGCAGGCGATTGAAAATCTGCTGGCCGGCTGAGAGCTGCTGAACTTGGGTTAGAGGAGAAGGGAGCTGCGCTCCAGCTTTTGGATAAATAAACACCCGTGGTTGGACTGGATTATGCTCTGACAACTACGTCATTTGCTTGAGGGTGAAGCTTGGAGTAAACTGCTTTTATTAAATTAGCTTTTTACTTTAGTTTTTGGGATTACAACGTTAATTTAAAAGAAAGCGAGGAGGTTGAACTACCTGGTGAGTTCAGAAAACACTTTATTCCATATTGCTATCGTACTATGACCAAGTTAGCATAGCATAGCCCTGATCGATCCGAACTCCATTCAGAAAACAAACATTTTAGAAGTTGTTGTCTTGCTGACAGACCTGACAAAGCATGAATTCATATGTTTAACAAATCTGCATCATATTGTAGTTATTTCGGCATCAGTTTGATCCGTTTTTTGCTATTTTATCACAGCAAAATGTTTACTTTCGGTTCATACAGCTGTAGTAATGGCGAGTCGTGTTTATTCACATTATCGGGTTGTGTGTGAACACAATGTCCAGCGATAAAATCCCCACGAGGAAAGCATTGTGTGGATTAAATTCACGTTTGGTCTGAATGCCGCATAAAGCATCATTGCTTTTGGTCTTTTCATGAGATTCATTGACATTAAGAAAAATATTAAATATTGTGAGCCTTTCCTTTCAGGAACCCAAAATCCTAATGTATTTTCCACTACTTCATATGCCACAAATGTACTGTACATAATTTGTTGTATAATTTGTAGTCACAATTAAATTGTTTGTCTTCCCTTTCTTCTCTTTCCCTCCGCCCTCTCTCTGTCCACGTCTTCGTCCTCGGCTGCAGAGGAGATTGAGGTGGACGTGGAAAGCACGGAGTTCTCCCATGGAGAGCTGGACAGCGTGAGCACAGCCAGCACCAGCGACCTGGACGACCACAGCAGCCTGCAGAGCATGGCCAGCGACGAAGGCTACTCCTCCTGCAGTGTCAAACTTGCCTTCTCCACATAGAGCCCCACACCTCCACCACCACCCTGCCAAACCGGCCTGCCCACCCATCCGTTGGTCCATCCATCCATGCCTGCATACGTACATACCCAGTCACCTCAGACGGCGGCCACGCCCTGGGCTAACGGCGTTCCCGTCGCACCTGCCTCTGAGCAGCGCCCCCCTCCTGCTCCTAGCCCTAAGTTGCCTCCACCACCCCCCTCCTCCTGCGCTGCTGTACCCACTGTTGGAGGAGCTCCACTTAGAGGTCTCCCTCACCTCTAAACTTCGAGCTTCCCACGAACGATACCAGGGACCCCAACACAGTGACGGGAGATCAGAGTCTTGGTTGATATAAAATAATATATATAATCACCTTAATTCTTAAACCCACACAACTGAAATGAAATTATGAAAATTATTTTATTAGCTTGATTTTATTTCCTTGATTTGTCAAATGTCTGAATTTGTTAAACATACACAACCCCTAATTTGATCGAAAATGCGCTTAAATTCATATGATGTTTAAATAATTCAGTTTCTGTTAGGTTCTCTCTCCTGTGGGGGTGTGTGTGTGTGTGTGTGTGTGTGTGTGTGTGTGTGTGTGTGTGTGTGTGTGTGTGTTGAGCTGGTCCTGCCTATCTCATCTTAATGTCTGGTGTTGGGCCTGGATAAACGGGAGCACATCTAATCTGGAGTATAATGAACACTGCAGGTGAACATTGCCATATCAACACAGCTTGGCCCTGATAAACATCCCTTCAGCCCTGAATTTTAATCCTTGTGTTGTTGTTTTTTTACCTATGCTTGACACCGCAGAAGCTAAGACACTCAAACTGGTGCTATTGTGAAACAAACCAACGGGGAAGCGGATTCACCACCACTAAGCTTTTAAAGCAAACAAAGTGTGTCTGCCATAATTGTTTCAAACCAAGCACGAAGGAAAGCAACCACGAAGAAATAGAGGGGAAAAAACATTCCTGCCGAATGTGGGTGCTCAGTGCATTTTCAAAGAGTGAAAATTGTAACTTGTGTGTGTTTTGTTTTGGTTTCTTTCCCCTCGATAAGCAGCTAAAACAAGCTATCCTTCACTTGCCTACTTTAGAGCTGTCCATAAAAATGGCACAAACCATGAAGTGGAAAAAGCAAACAGCAACAAGAAAAAAATTCCAAACAACAACAAACTTTGGAATAGATGTCCATCCTCTTTCCAGCAGTAACAAGCAATAACTCATGTAGTTGTTTTTTTTGTTTTTATATCGTCAGTTTGAACTCTTTCTTCTTTCTAAATAGTGTGGGACCGTCCAAAAAGCTTATTTCTTTTCTTTTTCTTTTTTGTACATACCAATAGTTTAATAAATTTAATTTTAAAAATTTGTTTTAAAAAGGATATCGCTTCTGGATAGAACTATTGCCTCTGTTGCTGTTTGATCTGTGTTTATTGTGCATTTTAAATGAATGTTTTCCTCTTCAGAGTGGCAGTGGATGTGGTGTGGACACAATTACTTTGTTCAGTTTTGCTGGTGGAAACATTGGAAATGTACTCGTTCTGTTGCTGCCCTGAGAAGGAAAAGAAAAGTTACTCTTCAACACGATAACAAAAACCGATAGAACAACTTCCCATCCAGTTTGCGGGAAAGCGACCCAGTGTGACTTCTGTTGGAAAATGCTGAGTTTGTGTGGCACTCTTTATATTTATTAGTTTGTTTTCTCTTGTTGATAATGTTCATGAGTGTGTGTGTGTGTGTGTGTGTGTGTGTGTGTGTGTGTGTGTGTGTGTGTGTGTGTGTGTGTGTGTGTGTGTGTGTGTGTGTGTGTGTGTGTGTGTGGCGGGGGGGGGGCTCTATATGGCATTCCACTAGTGGTCAGCTGAACTGTGGAGGAAAAGTCTGAAGTGTTAGGTGAAGAAAACGGGTGTTATGATGTCAATGTTCGCCATCCCAACTCCACTGACGTTAACAATTGCACTTCAACCACAGTTCCCTGTAAAAAAAAAAAAAAAAACAAAAGAAAGAAATTCTTTTCCTCTGTCATTTTCTCTCATGGGGCTCTCAAGAATCCTTTTGTTATTTGAAAACAGAAAAAAAAATGCCGGCCTTTTAGAATATTTATTTTGCAATCCCTCAAAGAACACAAGCAATGGAGGAAAACAAGTTAACTTATTTAGATTCTGTCTTATTTTATTCTTTTTAATGCGTATTCCTCATTCCTTATTTTAAGAATTGTATATTTTACGGGTTATTATTATTTTTGGCGGGGGGGGGTCAGGGGGGTGGGGTGGGAGGGTTTTAAGAAATGTAGCCATTTTGTTTTAATTTTTCTGATGTTTTATTCTATGGACACTTGAAATGTAATTGGCCCCTAAGCTGCTCCTAATGCTGAGCCTCGCCTGTTTAGAGTCGCCAGCCTTCTCTGGAGCTGACTCCCCAACAGCATGTTAAGCCTGTGCTGAGATGGAAAACAACTGGATAGGCTGATTAGACTAAATGGCTTCCCTCCATACCCAGCCTTCTGATGCAAGGTGAAAGATTCGCCATATTGTTTATAAATTCTCCTGGCCGGTTGTTTTTGCGTCTGTGCTAAGGGGGGGGGGGGCATCTCTACACAAGGCTTATCGATAGCCAAGACTTTACTGGCAAATATTGAGCCAGCTGCTACACAATAAAAGGGGTCTAAAACTCCACTTTCCTCTATTAGGAGGAATGTAGTCTCTATTAGACTTGTGTTTTAGTTGACAAGATGTGTCTTACATTTACAATACAAGGCCTCCGATTGAGGATTTAAAGAGAAAATAAATAAAAAAGAACAAATCCTTTGGTTTTCTGAAGGACATCATTAAGTTGTAGAGTTTGACATGTACGCTCTTTGCGGAGCTGTGTTGAGGTTGTTGGGACTTGGCACTGAATCAGAAAGTCACCACTTTTGGTGCTTGATAATTAAAATAACAAAAATGCCAAAACCACCTCAGAACACCTCAGTGTCCTCTCTCTCTATCTCTCTCTCTCTGAGGGACAGTTTACATGTATTTTCCCCCTGTTTAAGTTATAAACTTTCAACTTCTCTTTGATCCTGTTTTTGTCTTCATATGTTGGATTTATGAGCCTGCTGACAGGAAAAAGGTCCCATGTTTTGACGACAAATGAATTTCACTCCTCGTGTAGACCTGATTTACACCTGATTCACATCCTTGTGGTGTTTTAACCTGTTCAGACTACAGTATATTTTTACTGCATCGGGGCGATTCTGAAAATGAAGGTTCTGTTGTTTAACACCAAAATGTGTGAAAACTGTCTGGCACTCATTGTATTGTCTCATGTGGCAAACTACTCTGATCTTGTATTCCAAGAAGGGATAAAACCAACTATAAGAACTGATTTTACTTATACCAGGTCTGTCCTCTCTCGTGCGTGTGCATGCACACGCACACTACTAAGTCTGAGCTTTAGAGAGGCACCTGGTCCATGACCAGTCTGCACTGATCTTAGTTATGCTGTTTCTTATCTGCTAATTGGTAAATATCAAGATTTCTGGAGGTTATTTGTCAGAAAAAGTGTATCCAGTGTAAGACTCAGAGTCAAGGCCCTGTCACATCACTTGCAGCCATGATATTTCACTGGAAGTTAACTGAGCTTTACTGTCAGTTCAGTGCAAACAGGTCATGGATCAGCCCAAGCTAGGTGGGAGGTCTGATAAAGAGTTTCTGGCTATGCTGCAGATTCAAAACAATAGCATATCTTAATAAGCTGGTGATCACAAAGCTATATTTTTACCTCTGTGTTTAAGGTTAGGTTTAGACATGCAGTCCTGACTGTGGTGCAGGTCGGGGTTAACTTTTCCACTAGTGTTGAGTTCCAACCGTGCAGCCTGGCCAGATGTGCACCAGCTCGACATAGTGGAGGTCACAGTGTCTTTTGTAAACCACACTCCATTCTGCCGTCAGTCAGGAGGTTGACTCTGAGCAAACGGGTCCATAAGGTCAAGTTAGCCCAACCAAACGAGCAGTTCCACGTAGGGAGTCCTCCTGTTGTTCTGAACCTGTGGCCATCCTTTGTAAAACATGCAGTCTGATGATGATTCTAGCCGTGTAAGTTGAAGATGCAATACTTACAATAAAAACTCCAAGATTTTCAAATGTGAATGACTCAGCCGGTCTCTTTATACCATGGGATGTTTCAGTGCTGAATGTACAGTAAAGCAATGACTCATGCTGTAAAATACCCTATATTCACTACTTGTAATGTCAGGCGTTTTACCTGTATTCCCTGTAATCTACAAGTATCTATGTGTCAAACATAATATTTCACAGAATGGTGGTAACCAACATTGAGGTCGGGACCCCTTCAATGAAATGAAAGAAAAAAACATTTGATTCAAAATGATGAACCTGTTCAACATGACAAGCAATAAAGTCTCTCCAGTTAAACAATTCACATTTCACATCAATTCACATCATTTAATTGAAAGAACATAATTGAAAAGATATGCAAACCCTCAAATGGCGTTTGCCAAATTGATGATTAAAGACGAAAAGGACAATCAGTAGACAGGAGTTTGACATATGAGCAAATTCCGTCCTTCAGTGAAGACGGTGAGATGAGGGGTACCAGAGAAAAGCTAGTTGCCTATGTTTACATTGAGTTAATTTCTTTGTCAAAGATGTAAATCCTGTTTCAAAGACTTTTCCATCCTGGAAATAATTAAAAATGCATTATTGAAATATTGACCTATGAAAATATTTTTTTAAATATGAGGGCTGGCAGCCCTCAAACTTTCATGAGAGCTTCATAAATCTTATAAAAACACATGTCATGTTGTTATATAAATGTGTATGTAAATCTTTTGTGTCAAATGATTAATATTAGCTGCCTTTTCCCAATACACAGTAAGATAATCCAGAAAAGGTTTAAAGAACGTGATGTCAAAGTTCACAGGTCTCAGTATTATCCCTTGCAGCAGGATACTGTGTGCAGATATTATATTCAGAGAAAAAAAACTCCAAAGCTGCTCTCTGTTTTCAGGCTCACATTAGTCAACATAGTGTACTGTGTGTATCCTCCAGCAGTCTGCAGGTGCCACAAGTCTGTCCAAGATCACATGATGTCTGTGTGATCAAAGCAGTCTTGTGGGGAGGGTTACAGTTGTTTTTTTCTTTAACAGACCACATGAGCATCCACCGCATTTGATATTCTTCTCAAGTGATCACAGCTTATGGAAAAAAAGGCACGACCTCCCACGTTGTACAAAACTACCACAATATGCCACAGTGAGAAATGCAGTGATAATGAAGATGTTGCTCATAAAGAACTCACTGTAACTACAAATAATTTGGTTTAGATTACAACACCACATCAACTGGGACGCCTTTGTTTGAGCACCACAAACAAAATTAACTACTATTGGCTGGGATTATACATTTCACACTTTATTTTGAATGTGAGTTTAAATATAAAGGGAAATATCCTGCTTTAAACTCATGTTGTTGTCCTGTTTTTAACAAACAGAATGTCCTTTCTGTCCTCTCCAAATCTGCTGGAACTTTGTTTTTCAGAGGGAACATTATGATCAAGCCAGTAACTGTGGCAGGTAATGACACAGGCTACATCCTGGCTGGTTTATCAGCGTCAAACTGGGAGAGATGCTGCCACCTAAAGGATAAAAATAGTCAGTGTTTCCTGTTGATCAGCCTGCCAACAAATTAAGCTAAACTCAAATTTCTGATCCTTTCCTTGTAACACTCATTATGTGTGTTTTGTACGATGTATGATTACTAATGGTGGATGAAGGACATCATATACAATCTGCACACACAGATAATGATAGAGATAAAAGCATATTTGATAATGAAAAGTGATGTCAAATCACACCATTATTCGTGACGCTCTGTGTCTATTGGTAAAACAAATAAAATGAATGAACCCAGCATTTAGAATTTAGAATTAGCTGCTGCAATTTATAAAATCACTTGGAAGATATAAACCTCTCTAGGGTGACGTCACTATTTCAAACCATATTACTTTAACCCAACACAGCATGAACCACTAGGAGGCACAAGAGGCCTGGAAATGATCAATACTGTATTGATTTTCCACAGTCTCCCCGCTGTTGGTCATGTCTTCACTGACTGTCAAACCAACACAAAAATATTTTGTAGAGACCAGACATGGAAGAAGTATTCAGATCATTTACATAACTAAAAGTACTAGTACCACACTGTGAAAAGTTCTGCATTCAAAATCTTACTTTAGTGAATATAGCCTACTTAAAGTATCAAAAGTAAAAGTACTCATTTTGCAGGAAAATCGTCCCTCTCAGTGTTTATTTAACTATTATTGCTATTATTATTACTATTATTGTATCTATGTCTGTCCTGTATCTATGTCTTTCTGAAAAAACAATTGCACTATGGAGACAAACAAAGTTAAAGTAAGTAAAGTAATAAATAAGTAAGTATGTGATGTTTCTGGATTAATATCACTGCTGCAGTAATGTGTATTTTGAATTTTACTGCTGTAATTAATGGATGAGCTCATTTTAAGTGCTTTATATACTGTGGGGTATTTTAATCGACTGCAATGCATCACATTCTACAAGATCATGTTTGTAGCATCCCTGTCCTGTGAGAACATCATATTTCTAAAAAGTTACCTTTTCATGAGATCCGTTTTGAGTTTTGTGACGATGCATTCACATTTTCCATCTTATCCAAGGGGAGGTTTTAATAGTTAGTTTATACTTCCTAAGAAGTAGGAGAAATTTCTCAACTCATAAAGGAACATATCATTGAATTTCACTTCTTCCTGTTTGATTTGTTGCCATGTGACCTCAGTCTGAACATATACTGTACAAATTGCAGAGGGCGCAAGAGATGGCTGGACTTGTGAAGGCCTCTCTCAACATTAAGAGCCTGAAGACTCAATACAAGAAGCAGTCATGGCTGGCTGCATAACATATCCATGCAGCTGTATGTGTACCTTTCCTTGACCTCGATGGAAAACGTCATGAGGTCAAGGAAAGATGTGAAGGAGAATCCGTAAGGACTTAGGAAAAGAGGACAGCGGGTCAAAGAGAATCCCACTGCTCTTTTCTAAGTGACCTAATTATGCAACGATTTTACTGACATGACCTGATGTGATGAAGCTACAATGTTCTGAAGATGGACTACAAAAAGCGCTACATTTTGTTGTAATGCAGGCCATCTAAAGGTGGACAACACGGTGGAATATATTAGCTACTTAATAACCAAGATAGCAAAAAGGCAGATAAGGTAGCCTACCAGTCACTATATAATGGACCGGGTTGTAGAGAGAGAGGTAGAGAGAGAGAGGTAGAGAGAGAGAGAGAGAGAGAATGCGCTCTGTCATCAAATACGATTTTACCCATTTTAAATAACAAAATCAATGGAAAATCAGCGTTGATAATGTGGCAGGCAGCCACAAATAAATGAGTGTGTGGGATACGCCTACTGTAGAGATTATCCATCTTGATCTTTGACTTTATGAAGGCGAGGGTGTCAGAATCTGTGACTGAAGTAAAATTAATTTGCTGAAGACTGCAGTAGCCACACATAACGTTAACATTATCCTCACTTTGATCACTTACAAGACTAGTAACAGCTCGCATGGGTCTCAGTTATTGTTGACAGTTTAAGATATATGCATATTAGCAAGTTATGGCATAAGATAGAAAAGGCTTAATAGCCAATGGTAACTTACATGGTGATCAACCTCCTTTATCCCTCATGGTTGGTGATTTATTTATTTTTATTGTAGAAAACACTTAATGGCTTATTTCAACAACCTGAAACATAAAATGGTGTTGAAACAGTATTGGATTACAAAAAGCCAAAAGAAAGAAGGTAATTGTGAGTCTTATTAAAGTATCATAATGTGCGTCTGTATTGCAAGGATCTTGCTAAATGTGGTTGATGGATTTTATCGTTTGAGTTTGAGAACGTGTGCCGCTTTAAATGTTGCCGCCGCAAGAAATTGTGGGACAGCATTCTCTCCTTTCCTTTCCTAAAGGATGGTCAGTTGTACCCTATGCTAAAGGAGATATGAAAGGAAGCATTGAGGCTCCCTTCCTTAGCTTTTAGAGAATTCGAACAGCTCTTATCATGGCTGCCACTGAAATACTTCCAGTTCACTTCACTCAGTTAGGAACCTTCCTAAGCAAAAAAGACTTTCAAGACAAACTGGTACAAAGGGGAAAAGGGTATTTAGGGGAGACAACAAGGCACAGGTGGAGCACATTAGGGCAAGGACTGGTAATTCTGGTAATTTCAGTGGCAGCCATGATAAGAGCTGTTGGAATTCTCTAAATGCTAAGGAAAGGTGCCTCAATGCTTCCTTTCATATCTCCTTTAGCATAGGGTACACCCAGACATTATATTACTGGACGAAGCCACTCTGCGGATTTGAATGGAGAACAGTGAAGCCAGTTTTGGACCAATAAAATACTACTACAGGGCTACGTCCTGTTCCAGCGTCTACTGCGCATGATCGCGCTGCAGAGCAACAGCAGAAACATTCTGGTAGCTGCTCCAAAAGAGCGTTTGTCTGACTCGGATCATCAGTGACTAATCAGCTCACCTATGAGATTCACCTGCCAAACACCATGTGCGATGGAACGTCAAGTTTTTGACGTCATTTTTGGGCCTACGTGGAACCGTCCATGCAGGCTTTGGTCGGCTTCACTGTTTCAACTGTGGCTTACCCCCTTGGGTACACTGGACCATCCTTTACGAAAGGAAAGGAGAAAATGCCGTCCCACAATTCCTTGTGGCGGCAACATTTAAAGCGACGCACGTTCTCAAACTTAAAGATAAAATCCACCGCATTTAGCAAAATTAATTAATTAATTAATTAATGCTGTTTCAACACCATTAGCAGTTCTTAACATAGTTCTTTCCCCGCGCCTTAACAGCCCCAGTAACCCAGTCAATGTGGGGATTACTGAACTAACCATGGGAAACCTAAGATGAGTGGGTGCTGGGGTGACCTAACCAGGTGAAAGCTGAGTGTTTCAGTTATGCAATGGAACTACTGCTCTGGACATCAGAGGAATCCCAGTGAGCCCTGTCTGAATTTCCTCATTCATGGATGTCGAACAATGCAGATTCCATCCACTTTCTGCTGCCAG